CACTCATGTTCTTGTGTTTATGATTTGCAGTATAGTTAACCCTTTTAAGTTTACACTAGCTAATTTTCCATTATTTTGGAAAGCTGTTGGTATTTGTGAAATGGAATGCAAGTTGAAAGTTATGGCTACAACTTGCGATGGTGCTTCTTCGAACAGAAAATTTTTTAAAATGCATTCACGCTTATCTAATTCGAATGTTAAAAAGGATGTAGTTCTCACATATAAAACAATAAATTTATACTGTCCTGAAAGGTATATTTACTTTATAGCTGACCCTCCAAATCTTCTAAAAACAACAAGAAACTGTATTTACAGCTCAGGCTCTGGTAAATGTACTAGATACATGTGGAATGATGGTTTATACATTCTATGGAGTCACATCGCAGACATTTTTAAAGAAGATCAAATATGTGGTTTACATCTACTCCCGAAATTATCGTATGACCACATTAAATTGTCATCTTATTCTGTTATGAATGTCAAATTGGCAGCACAAGTTCTAAGCACTACTGTAAGTAAAGTCCTTCTTAACTATGGATCTCCAGATACATTTGCAACAGCAAACTTTTGTTCAATGATTGACAGTTTTTTTGATATTATGAACATTAGTAATCCTTATGAATCAATTCAAAAGTCAAAACCATTTTCAGTTCCATTTTCTTCTCTTGATGATAACCGTTTGAACTGGCTTAAAGCAGAATTTTTGCCATATTTCGAAAAGTGGTTAAGTTCAATTAATACCCGTCAAGGTAAATTTACTCTAAATGACAAAGGTAAAATGTTTATATCATGGCAAACCTATGAAGGAATTAAAATTACAGTGAATTCTGCTGTTGAGTTAATAACATTTTTACTATCTAATGGCGTATCTTATGTATTGACAGAAAGATTTTGTCAAGATTCCCTTGAAAATTATTTTGGACATCAACGCCAAATCGGTTCCCGCAAGGATAATCCATCTGTCCGTGATTTTGGCTACAACGATAATACTATTCGAAATCAAAAGGTATTCAGACCAATAAAAGATGGAAATTCCCATGAAGATATTCACTTTGAGATGAACGAAGAACCAGTACCATGCAGAAAGCGAGTAAAAACTTCATTACAATAGGGTATTCATTAAAAACGGCTATTTTCATAGCCACAAATTATTAAAACACATTATTGGCAAAGTAAACAGGTAGCATGCAACGATATGCAATGTACGTTTTGGGGACACCCTTAATATATATCTTGCTGTATTGATAGATATATCTTACTCTAAGGAGCCTAATACAAGGTGGGGGAAAAAATTTATTCTAGATCTTAGCGCGCAGGAGGAGGGGCAATAAAAAAGTGACATTATTTTTACTTAAAATATATCCGATTTTGCAATTTTCCGATAAAAATTCTACTAATTCCACTGTGATGATAGTTTAAATTTTTTTAAATGTGCACATCACATTGTAGCTATCCCCTCCCCTATGTGACATTAAGTAATACTTTTTGATCCTTCTCCCCTTAAGACTCTCACGTACTATTTAAACAGCCCCTATTTAAATAAATCATAAATAAAGTAACCCTTCTTTACCTTCTAGCATACGCAGGCATTATTTATCATTAAAAAATTCAAAACTTTAAAATCTAAATTTATTGTAGGAATTTGTTAATTCAACATTTTTCTCTATTTAAATAAGAAAACAGGCAGTTTACAAGAGCCTTTCAAAGACAGGTTAATAATTTTAAAGTTTTCCCTTCCCCTAATGTCCATTGATTATGTCAACAGTATTAAGGCATTTTTTCCCTCTTCTCTCCTCTCTTGTCAAACTTACAGAGCTTCCCCTAGGGCTAACAGAGCTTTACTAGGCTTCCCCTACAAAATTACATCTAGTTTTATAAACTTCTCCCCTGATCCCTAAATACAAAACTACAATACAAATGCTTTATCAACAATTTTTGAAAATAACATCAATCAATTGATGTTATTAACAGAAAAGCCTAAATGAACCTTAATACCATCTTTTTCCCCCTCCCTGAACACACACACTTTTTTCACACAATTTTCTTGCTTTTTCTTTCCTTAACATGCTTTAGGATCCACATGAATAATGATTGTTTTTCTACAAAAATTCCTTTTTAATTGACAACTATTTTACTAGTACTAATTTTAAAATTACCCTGTATACTTGGAGTAATTTCATGAAAACAGCAATTCTATTTTATTAAAAAATTATTATTAATATTCTGATACCATAATGTCTTTAGCCATTTGTAGCTATGAAAATAGCTGTTTAAAAAAATTGATATATTAAGATCAGGTAAGTGTATCTATTTGTCCAATGTGCAACCTATACTTGATTACTCTTCTTCTTTAGTGAAGTTCGCAGTGACTTTGACTTAAGTTGTTTAACTTTAACTTTATAAGCTTGTAGATTATCCTTGACGTAGGAAAATGTCCTTGCTCTTACATACAAATTCAAGATGTCCTCAAGAACATTTAAACAAACCTCTTTGTTAACAACAACATCAGTTTCACTTTTGATCTTTGAAAAATTTGATAAAATATTTGTGTCTTTGAGAAGTGTTAGTACAATTTCTTTACTGTCAATTTTATTGATAGACTTTACAGCCATATTTTTAAATGTTGTTTCAGTAGTAATAAAAATGGATATTGCCTCAATTTTCATTTTCCATAAGCCTGATCTGTTACGTGTGTTCACAAGTTTATGCTCAGGCAAATCATCACTTCCTTGATATTGGGCAGCAAGTAAAATAGACATATACTGTTGGTAATATTCTTCCTTAAAAATATCTGAAAACCTGATACGACGATATAATGTGCTAAAAACATACCCACTTAGATAGGCAATAACAGATTGATCTCTATTTGAAAGTACACAAGATTTTTCAGATAAAATTGAATCACCTAAAACTGATTGACCAGAAAGATGTGACAATACATGGTTACATACCTCGAATCCAAGTAAGGTGGAACACTGTGTATTTAATCCTATAAAAATAGATTCAATGTTGTCAAAGATACATTTGTAAAAATCTGGATAAAAATTTTCGGCATTTCCTCGAAATAAAGATAAAACCGGTTTAATAAACTGATATGCTGTGTTAGATATATCGAAATTATTTATATTTGTATTTTTAAAATGATTTTGTATCAGTTATCTGATGAAAGCTTTGCAACACTTTTTTCTAAATATATTTGAAAATTTTGAAGATCAAGTATTTCTTCTGGTATTTTAGATTTCTCAGTATCTTTTAAAACTTTCGAGTGAACTGATAAAGCATCTGAATGTTTGCAATTAGTAAGACGAGTGACACCCCTAGAGCTCAAACATATTTTATTACAAAATCGACACGAAAATGTTGTTTGTGGTGCATGCGAATCATGTTGTTTTTCAACAACATCAGTTAACAAATCCTGGTCAATAACTGCAAAAATAGCATCAAGCTCATCTTGATTTAACTCGACAATGTGCTCAAAAAGAAATAAATCATCTGAACCTTCGGCCATCATTAAGTTTATTTTGCACCTTATTCCTGCGGGCCACCCGATTTTCAACTTAAACAATAAAAACTGTTAAAAACGGCCTGCGTTTCCAGACTATTCTTTTTATGACTATGACTTTATGTATGGCAGGAAACAAAAGAAATCATTTTTGCCTCTTACAAGGTGCAAGGTGGTTATTGGTAATTTATTTAATTATTTATCTTCGTATTTAGTTGAATTAATAAGTTTGATAATTTTTGATTACATTTTGTTCATGTCTTGTTTAACATTATCAACTTAAAATTTGTTTGCAGCTACCATAAAAAAAATTTGAAAACGCTCATGACAAAAGCATTAAAGAAAGAATCGGCAGCTTTCTGGCAACGGCCATTGATAGAGAAGGCGGAAGAAAGAACAGAACCGCAATTGAGCAAAGCCCACTATTGAGCGATGAAAATGAATGTCGCCAAGATAATGAAAATCAATGCCCACTATCTGATAGTGAGAGTGTAACGCTGTAATATATATATATATATATATATATATATATATATATATATATATATATATATATATATATATATATATATATATATATATATATATATATATATATATATATATATATATATATATATATATATATATATATATATATATATATATATATATTCATTTGTATCAGTTTAATATAACTTCTAATAAATTTATTATTAGATTTTAAAAAGTCTCATTTTTTCAAAGCGTTCCTAGATTATTATCGCCTTTTAGACTATAACTCAAGTTATATACAATTATAGTCTAAACTATATACAAAAATATAGTATAGACTATAGGCTGCATTATTCTTTCGGGTTAAACAATTCATCCGGTAATATATTCAATGTAATATATGCCGGTAATATATTCAATGTAAATTTATCTTGTAGATATTCTGGCGAATAAATAAAAAAATTTAAAAAAATAACATTTTATTGTTTAACACTAAAAACAATATAACTTTATTACGCCAATATTGGCCAGTATTGTATTTACAATATTGTACCAATATTGTAAACGATATCGCGCCAATATTGTAATGTCAACATTTTGCCAATATTGGCCAATATTGACTTAACAATATTGGCGCAATATTGTACCGCTAATATTGGCCAATATTGGCAAAATGTTGACATTGCAATATTGGCGCGATATAGTTTACAATATTGCGCCAATATTGTAGACAATATCGCGCCAATATTGTTTGCTGCTTGGGTTGCTTATTAGGTTATGTTGATATCAAAAATGGTTTTTACTTGATGAAATAACGCTGATAACACATATCTTTAACGCTAAAATCAAATATTGCTTTATCCTCAAAAATAAGGTCTTTAAAAATATGATGTAAATATAATATTTTTATCAAAATATACATTATTATGCACAACTTGTCAGAAACATAGCAGGCACTCTTTTTGACATAAGAAAAATTAAGAAAACTGTTTTACTAATGTGTGGTAGTTTTTTTGCCAGATTAGATAATATTTTTCAAAAAGAAATGTTAAAAAACGGTTGTGCCTCCATATGCGGTTATGCCCCCACTTCCCCTATTTAATATTTTATGATACTTTCTTACTATTTAATCTTTTTTCTTCTTATGCCTACGTCATAATATATAAAATAAAAAGTGTATAAAAAAAAATGTTTATAAATTAAACACACACTTACATAAGTAAAAGTTTTATTGATGATTCACCCAAGTTTCGTACCATAAAAATTCATTTGTTGATTGCTCAAGTTAACCTACGCTATTGCTAAATTTACCCCACTGGGGCAGGTTAAGCAGCTTCGATATATTATTTTCTTTCAACTCTTTGGACGTCAGTTCAACTCTCACCTAGCTTGATGAGCTTTTTGCAAAACAGCTGTTTAAAAAAATCTCTATAGGATATAATTCAGCTAATAGATAAAGATGAATGGGATGAAGTAAAAACTAATTGAGTTGTCGATATCCGTAGGATTTTACCATTTATATGTACGGATGGAAGCTTTCTAGTAGATTTTTTTAGCTCTGAATAAGAGTTTCAAAAAATATTTAGCTGATTAACAATCTAATGAAGCCATAAATGAATGCAAAAGCTGTAAAACTACTAATAAAAGACTAATAAAGGACATTTTTTTCAAATGGGATATTAGCGGTGTCGTTTTAAACATCCAAAAGGATTGTGGAAGTATTATGACTATTAAAAATTGCTTATTTGAGAAACCTCTTTTTATATTCGTAGAAACAGGCAAGCAATTAACTTTTACAGTTGATGACCGCCCTGGCAAGCTCTTTTTAGAGGGCAGAACAACCAATATGGTTTTTTGTACTGTACATTTTGTAATAATAATCATATTCGACCAATTTCTAGCTAAACTCAATGTTATACTTAATCGACGATCTTAATCCAACTTAACAAGACTTGGCTATACCCCACCGATAACACATGCTTCTATTTTTTGAGTATTTAAAAATGTAAAAACTTACTTTTAATTAAACTTGTTCTGAAGTATCAAAGCAGATATGATTTTTCATAATTTTGTAGATATTTTTTGAATAAAGAATTGTAAAAAAATAAATAATAAATTGAGCATAATTCTTAACTCATATTGTTGTTTTTACTCTGTAATGTAAGCTATATTGACAAGAACGCATTTGTCTTTTAAGAATGTTGCCAACAGAGATTTCAACATATCTTTGTTTATTAATAATCAGCGCCTCTTAGTTATTTAGGAACTAGAAAAGTTTAGAAAGTGGTAGGTTTACATATTTACATTAAATGCTTTTACAAAATGCCTGAATAAAGAAAACTGGGACCTCATATATATATATGATAATTTAAAAAAATGGTGTTAATTATTGTTTATTACTTTTATAAATTTTAATGGTGAAAAAAACGGCAATGGTTCTATTGGAATTTAGAATTCGAAAACGTTTTCGTGGCTTGCGAGTAATTGTTATTTTAAGTACTCTGCTACTTGAAAGAACCATTATTCGCAATCTACATCTCCCATTGTCAAATGTGGATTATAAATCTAAATTTATAAAAGATGTTTATTTCATAGACCTACATTATTTAAAGTATAATAAAAATACAAAAGTCTTCACAATACTTACTACAGAATTTGTTTTGATCAGTAGTATAATGATTAAATGTTATTGATAAGTCATAAAATGGTTGTGTTGATCAGTTATATAATGAACAGACAACGCCTGAAGCAGATGGGTTGTATTCTTGGTTTTCAGCAACTGTAATTTCAAGTTCCTCGTCTAACCCCAAGGTATTGAACTCGCCGAATAATAAAACAAATGCTTACTCAGTCCTTGTCTTGCTCTTAAAATTGTTGTTGTAATCTGAGATCTAATATTTTTGAAAATGCTTGTATATGAGATCTTTCTCGCAGTTTCATACTGATGCAAAGGTTCATACAGTGCATCTTTGAAATTTCTGTAGTCTTTGATAAAATCAATTGCCATGTTAACTCCATTTATTATTGAGATAACTTCTGATATGGTCACTTTTGATGAACTTGCTGTAAGTGTTACGTCTTCAAAAACTTTCAGCGCAGAAACAGCGCCAAACTGTTCCAT